GTAAGGTTATTCAGCTCTAAGCCTGCCTAATCACTGAAGTCAAATGTAATGAATTTACTGGTGTGATCAAGGCCTGCGGGAGGGAATTTTCCCCTTTTGCAGGAATGGCACCATACATGGCCAGGAAATCCCTTGTCCAAGGTGGGGGCCATTGCTCCAGCGCACACGTACAGGGAACGAGAGAATGCCGCTCTCTGTGGGCACCACGATGGGCAGCGGTGCTGGAAACATGCTGGGGAAGGAGAGGGAGGCCCCTGAGCTCTGGTACCTACAGAGGATCTCGGGTAGGCAGCCTGGAGAAGCATGGGGCCATGGCACAACTTAGCCACGGTCACTGCTTGGACCGCTGGGTAGGCCATCCCTCCCAAGCCAGCTTTTAAATAGAATTAGAAGTGAGAAACTGCCCAAGTACTTGGCTTACTTTTGGGCAGCCCAAGCCAAGTGCTGAGCTGCTACAGTCTGTCTGCAACTGTAACTCCTCAGCAAAGGCTGAGACATCCTGACCCCTCTGTAGTCTGTTCGCCCCAAGAGCTGGGTGCTGGGCTGGGTTATAGCTCCACTTGAGGCATTTCCAGAGTGCAGCCATGATCTGCGCCCTGCACTTCCGAAGGGAGTTAAAGCACTGAAGCTCAAGACACATACTCCACATAAAATTCTGGTCTTCATCGATATGCTAGCAAGTCACTTTTAGCACATTACTGAGTCGCCGTTGCAATCAACAGATTTGGACAGGCAACTCACGGGATTTTAAAGCTGTAGCTATCCATTATTAAGAAAAATAATTGCCTGCATTGTTGTTAAGAAAGCAAAATGAAAAGATGAGTACCACAGCGAACCCTGTAATACTGTGTCCTATAGCTTCACAGGTATCCAGAAAGGCACAGGTATATGATAAGCTGTTTCTAGGACTACTGAAATGACCGAAGATGCAATGTCGCTTTGGCTCAGATTCACTGAGGAAAAGAGAGGAAATAATATATGGAAATGCATAGATGTAACGGAGATAGAAATGATACTTTCAACAAGCTTAAACACCATTCTTATAGAATACTTCTCCATGGATATTAGTCTGGTGCAAAAGAAGCAAGAAATGGGGGAAAGAAAATGACAGACTTCAAATGGATCAGCACGAGGAACTGCTTCCTTCTCGGAGTACATGGAGTGCAAGTACCATTAAACCCCCAGCAAGCTTAAGGCTACCAATGCAGCTTGCCCATTCCATAGCTTTTGCCCAGAGTCACATCATCTCAACATGGTCTTGATATACTGAAAGGGTCAACACATAAACACACCCCACAGAAGGCATCTGAGATGGCTGAAAGGAAATAGCCACCTTCTAGGTGAGGTTGTGTGTTAGTGACTTTTACTGCCATGTGTGTCACCATCACAGCAAAAACAAAGACAAAAATGAGCAAAAGAGGCCACTAAATGCTACTCAAACAAACTTCCCATGGCCACACCACCAGAAAAAACATGTGCCCCATCTATTCATCCACAACATCACCAGCTCTGCAAATATAACTGGGAAGATCAATGGCAACAAAACATCAGTTTTGTTCTATTTTCTTTATCTCTCTGGTGCTTCTATATGACAGTCCTCATGTAGCAGGGGACATTTCCTGCAGTCCTAATCCAGGCTACAGCACCATGAGTTGAGATTCAGCAATTCTACTGCTGCTGGGGAAAAGCAAGGGTGACGGGTGTCAGTAAAAAAAATCTAGAGAAATCCAAAAGTGCTAAAACACAGAAAAGCCATCACGTGAAACAGCGAAAGAGCCACTGGAGTCTAAGGCCTGTTTTGTAATGGGTAAAATTTGCCTTGAACTCCTGTCTTACATGGGTCACAGCCTCACACCTCACAATACCAAGGGATGCTACAATTAGTGAGAAATGTATAACATCGCCATGTCTTTCATTTCATTGAAACATGAAATAAGAGTAATTGATGCTATTAAATAACAAAAGTAAGTTTATTTTATCAACATTATAAATATTTTCTTTCCCTCCATTTAACTCCAAAATGAGATAGTAAAATCAGTACAATGGAACAATTTAGGAGCTCCTCAGTTCTACCGAAAAGGGTCCCCTTTAATAACAAATTAAAATGGAAAATGACATTTCGTCAGTCCAGCAACCCCAGTAGCTGAGCAACCCTAGGTACTTTGTCATTCAAATGGCACAGCTCTAAAAGCGTGTGCGTGTATGTGTGTGTGAGTCTATATATATGCATACTGATAATTATAAATATACATATATATAGTAATATACACACATAAATAGACACAGCCACAGGACAGACACTTTTAGTACATCTAAATGTTTTACATGTAATTTAAGTGGGTTGTCAGCTGCACTGAAATTTGGAACTGGTCAGCACAGTGCCGACACAACGATACTGTTACTAAGCTAGACCCCAAGTGCTCAAGAGATTCAATACGTACGTGTCACCTTTAACTGCTGGAGAGTCTGCCTGCTTCTGGTGGCTGTCCAAAATCGAGAATCCCATGGCACTTGAAAAGGGGTAAGAAATAATCTTGCAGCATCCTGGCCCCAGATTCCTTCCTTCAGTGAACCAACTTCTGATACTCCTGGCTGTGTGTGAGCCATCGCAGAAAACAATATACATGCTCTGTTATCTACAAATACATCGCCAGTATCTAATGTATTATGTGTGCAGTGCTTTGGGACACCTTGAATATCAAAGGCACTACCTACAGCCAGCTCCTGTCCTATCTCCAACGCTGGGGTTTATTTTAAGCCTACAGTAACTGCCTCCTGCT